GTAGGTTTTGGATTTTTAGAGGAAGTTCCCTTCTAGCAGATGGCAGCTTTCTTTTATCTTCATCAAGCTGTTTACTGAGTCTGGTTTTACTGCATTAAGTTAGAACTGATTTATGCAGTTGTAAGGGGTATAATTCTGACTTTGCTGGTGATGTACATGACCATAGGATTTGGCTTACTGGATATCATTTCACATCCACAGCTCACAGACCTTGGTGGGAACGGTTTTACCTGGCAGCTATGCATAAGGGCCTCTGTGAATATTCAGTGTTATAGATCTGCTTAAAAAAAAAACATTAAAAAGTTGTAATTTCACCTCTGTATAAGGACATGAGATTTATGTGATTGTCTGGCTGGTCTGTCAGTCAGTAATGATGGGGTTGAGCCGAACAGCTAATTTCAGCCAAAAATCTAAAACACAATCTCCTGCAGCATCTGTGGAATTTTTTTTATTTTTTTTTTTTGTCAAGAAGAAAGATCCAAGATCCAGTAAGGAAACAGCAGGAGATTGCAGCTGCCAGAGGCTCCATGGGGTAGGAAGGAGACAACAGTGCAGCATCCTCAGCTCATCAGAGTGCTCCTTGCTGGGCAAGGCTATGAGGAAAACGTGTCAAGGGCATGAGTTACTGCTCTGGGGATTTATTTTCAGCTGAGTTTGTATGCCCTAGAAACCATGTTTGCTCCTGGCAAGTTCCATGTGTTTTTTTGGGGTTTTTTTTTTAATTTTTTTTTTTCTTGTAGCATCAGACTTCATCAATCTGTTCTTTAATTCTCTTTGTTGGAAAATTGAGCAAAGGTACTTCAGAGGGATACTGAGAGATTTAATTAACTTTTACAAACAGAGACAATAATGAATAGGTGATAAAGACTATAAATGGAAGTTCAATACTAAAGTGTAGTATTGATTTGGAGACATCTGTCATTCCAAATCTTAACATCGAAGCATCAAGGCTACTTTAAAATACAACAAACAGAGACAACTCTTTGATTTCTTTAAAGCCAAATGTGTTGTTTCATGTAAAAGGGATAAGAAAAAAATAAAAGGAGGGGAGATAAAGTGACCTCCTCCAGACCCTGGACTCCTAAAACCCAGTCTGCACTGTTATTGATTTTTCCAATTTGCCCTTCTACAAAGGAGTGTCTCCTGCTCTGCAGATCTGTTTTTCTATCTTTGCTGCAGAAGTGTAGGGCTGTAAAGCTATGGTATAATGGCTCTTTCCCCATCTCTAAATGGTTCCATATTTCAGGCCACAGAGATCTTTCTTCCAGAAAAATAACCTTCACAGAATGACATGCCTTTCAAAAGGAAAGCACATGAAGTCCCTATGCGACATTACTGGTATGCTTCTACATCCAGTGTGTCAACAGGATGCTTTTCTGTTTTCCCTTTGTGCTGTAATAATGCTCTGCTGCTGAAGGTGCAACATGAAAGGCTGCTCTTTAGAGGATTTGAGTTTAGAACTGTGTGGAACAAAAACACAGTAAAGCAAATAGTACTTCCAAGTAAAACCATTGAAGAGAGACTGTGATCACTTCTGAAAAGCCTGTATTTCTCCATATCTCAGGTAATTAGGCACCACACACGTACTTTGTCTTCTGGACATAGGCAGTGTGCATTTGAATTTAGAATGTAGCACTCTACTTTTGCCTACAACAGGCAGTATTAAAAACAGTTTAAAATAACAGCAATAGAATTGAAAAGGATGTTGCAGAGAGTTTTATGTATATATTCAATTTTCATTATCTTTTTTGTGTTTCCTGTGCTATGTGAAGAATTTGAAATTGAGTTTCATATTCCTAAGCCTGAGTCCTATTTTGCTTTTGTTCCACTTGAGGCAAAGTACTGAGTTTTAAGAAGTGAGGAGGGTAATTGAAAGCCATTGTTTTATTCACTGATTTATTTCTCCTGCTGCAATACTTTTAGATGCTGATTTAATTAAGTTAACTTAGTTTGTAGCTCCCCTTGTTATTGCTTTATTAATTAATTAATGCTCCACTCCTCTTCAAACAGTGACATTTCTTACTGAAAGGTCATTTTGAAAGGTAGGGATGAGCAAATAATTTATAACCAATAATGCTTTTTGCCAAAAATCTCTGGGAAGATTGTGAAATCTTGGACCTGAAATCTGCAAGAATCTTCCTTCAGAAACAGCTTTCTGTAAGTGGCAGACACTTTTGTCACACATGCAGGGGGATTTCTCTTCCTGATGTTTCATGGAAGGGGATTCAGTAGCACTTTGGTTAAAATTGTCAAAAAGGACCAAAAAAAATTGAGAAAAAGTCACTAAGACAGCAAACCTATCATCTGACAACCCATTCCTAGTTTAAAAAAATCTAAACTTTCAAACACCAATTTCAGCCTGGTGACAATAAAGAAGACAGTTTCCAAATCACTGGAGAGAGACTGTGAGAGGCAACCACAGAGAGGCAACCAAATCACCGGGTGCTGTCATGAGCCAGCTCCAGGGGCCTCAGGGGAGGGCCCAGGCTGCTGGACCTCAGTGCACTCAGCAGATATTCACACTGGGACTTTGCTGTCCATCACGCTTGCTTTGCAGCCCAGTGCCCTTGGCCAAAGCTGCATGGCCTTGGATGTTTATATATGCACTGCCTTGCTGGATCTTTCTCTACACAAGATTTTAAAGAGGAAAGCTGCAAGTGGAAAGTGGTATCTGCCATGGCAGCACTAATTTAGAGCATCTATACCCTGACAGGATCCAGCTGGCCCCAAGGGAAGTGTGGTGGGGCACATGTGGGGCACCAGGAGGGTCTCAGCCCAGGGCAGAGCAGGACAGAGCCCATCCCACCACCATGAATGGTGCCTGAGGGCCCTGGGCTGGCCCAGGCTGTGTGAGGACAGCAGTGCCCAGACTGGGACAGTCTGTGGTGCTGCTGAGCCTCCGGCCTCACAAGCCTGATTTCTGCTCCCAAAAGACAGGTTTTCAAAAGAAATTGTAGCCCCATAATGCAGCAGCTACAGGTTCAGAGTGGTGACAGGGCCGTGACTGGAGAGTGAGATGTCTTCTGTGGTGACGCCACCTCTCTTTAAGTCTGGTGTGCCTCTTGTGTGTGTGTGTGGGGAGAAGGGTGACACGTGTGGTTACAGGCCCACACCCAGTACCCACCACAGCAGCAGGCAGGGCACGGGGCTTTGGCAAAGCTCTGGGCTGCACAGCTGGGCCTTTGCTGCTGTTTTTTATATGTTCCCCAGCCTCTCTGTAGCCACAGTCTGCCCTGCTGCAGTCCAGAGAAGGGGGAAAATATTAATAGCAAGAACTATTGGGACAAAAACGAATCTCTCTCCTTCCTGAGATGGTATTCCAGCTTTATTCCAGGGATTGCGTAAGGAAAGAGGAAGAAACTGATAACACGCTCCTTTTGAAGTCAGGGAAAGGGGGAAGGGTCACAGTCTTACAGCCAGTAAAGGAAAAACTGGGGAGGAGAGGTTAAGGGGAAGGAGCTAACATTCTGTATTTCAGGGATACAGTCCAGGATTATACCATTTTTCTAAATGCATTACAACACTTTGCCTGTTGAGAGGTTCAAGTGATGGGTGGAGGAGGGTGTGCTGCTGGTCTGACAGCCTGTTCTCACAACTGTGCAGTGCAAATACAAGTAGGCACTTCCTTAGGTTGCCTAACCAAGCTTAATGGGAAATGTCCCATGTGTCCAGCAATGCCCACCTACCCAACACAAACTCCCACCTGGAGCACAAGAAACAGTCTGTCTTCATGTAGGTTAAGCATTTTGTGAGTGTAGGATGTGTGATTTTTACCTGTGGGATGAGATTACAATTCTGCAATTCCCTTTGATTTGAATTTATCTACAAGGTATCTTGAGTTGAATGAGCTAGTAAAGCTAAAATTGTTATTGGCCTAAGTTAAGCATCAAAATAGCAAGAAACCCAAGTATGTCACCTGTGCTATTTAAGGTTTTCAGACCAGCTGGTTTGGACCTATTTCTGTGTATCATTTTTTGAAGTACAGCAATAGACAGGGGTTTTGTAATGGTATATTCTTTACTTGGGTGCTGAGAGTACTCAGCTTCTGAGCAGCTCCACGGCACATGCCTGCAATGACAGAGCCTGACTGAGATCTCAGGCTTTGCTGCCTAAAATAGTTTCATAATATCTCTTGTAGATGGCTTCATCTGAAAAGCGTATTGGCACTGTGACGAGAAAGAAAAAAATGTAAATACTTTTAATAAAATAGTGATTGACTTAAAAATGCAAATGCATCTTTAGGATCAAAATTTGGTAATGTAGGGACTTGAATCCCCCTCAGTGTCTGAATATTCTGTTAAATGATTTTGGTATGAAATCTTCAGCATTAGTTTTGTTTAACTTGAACTTGGGTCACCTCTGAAATAACAATTTCCTTAACTCTCTATTCATCTCAACCACAAAAAGTATTTTTCTCTATGCTATCACACAATAAAGTTATCTCTACACATAAAAATAATTAGTTACTATTTTTATTTGGAATTTTTCTTTATTACTGTTTATTTAGATGGTTTATTGGAAGTTTTGAAAATTGTATCTATAGATCATTTCCAGAAAGTGCTATTCAGTGATACATCATAAACACTGTTAAGCATCAGCAAAATACAATAAACTAATTTGAACAAGGTTAATCCAACTTGCTCTGGGACTTGTACATTCTGTTTTATCTTAAATGAAGTAAAGTTGTTAATTTTGTGTAGTTTTCATTTTCACATTAACATTCTCTTCTGCAAAGTGTAATTGCCTTCTTGTTTGTAATACTGTAGTCGTTTTAGTTAGGGCAGCTCTCTACAGAGAAAGACACAGGGCCTTCCTGGAGAACTTGCTACACAGACCAGACAGTCAGAGGACACTTGTGTGGTATGATTTGTCTAAGGTCATACAAGCCATCAGCAGAGTGAGAAGCAGAATCCAGATTGCCAGAACCTTATTCCAGCACTGTATCTAGTGACCATGCTGCCTCTTAATATGCCTCTGCTCTTATTGTTCTTTCTTTCTAGTTCGGGATCGGGTACGATCTAAAATGGAGAGAGATATTTTGGCAGAAGTGAACCATCCTTTCATAGTCAAGCTTCATTATGGTAACTATAATAAAATATAATTCATGTTTGTTCTTAAATTGGTTGGGGAATTGTGGCTAGATGTGTTACACTTTTGTGCAGATACCCCCTGCTGACTTAAGATTGTTTCTAACAAAGTCACATAGAGGCTGCCTGTGTGAAATTCTTCATTTAAGCTAAAGGAGACATTTGGTATTTGTAAGTTTCAGCCATTCCTTCATCAAAATAAATTTGTCATGAAGTCTATGTGGTAGGTAGTGCTGGTGGGGTAGCTCTTGAGTTTACATCTGCCAAACTCTTAACTGCTGTCAGGTATTGTTTAGAAAGACAGAGAATTTAAATAAAAGTGGGTTTTAATAATCAGTACCAGTCTAAATTTGTACAGGTGTGTACATGAATGTGGTGTCATGCTGGAGCTGCCTCCTGCCATGCCAGCCCCACTTTCACTGTAACAGATATTCTGAGGACATTTGGGTGTGTGGGCTCTCCTCTCACACAAACCTGGAGCATCTCTCTATGCCTCACTCTCAGTGACTCCTGATACCTTGTGGAGTGGGAAACATTGGTAACTCATGGGTGCTGACCATGGAAATGAATGCATTAGTAATGCACTCTTGTCTCTCAGCTGACACCAATTTTTCCCATAGCCTAAGCTCAATTCCTAAGTTCTGTACAGAAATGTTTTTTTTTGGTTCTCAAAGTTTTGAAGTGACAGTGAAGCAATGGCATGAATGATACACTGCTACTCAATGGGACTTACTCATTGGGAATTTATCTTGATCCAACATCTTCATCCTTTTCTAATGCAGCATTTCAAACAGAGGGAAAGTTGTATCTAATACTAGATTTCCTGCGGGGAGGGGACCTTTTCACCAGACTCTCCAAAGAGGTAAGCTGATAGATCTTTAACTCAGAAATTAAAGACTGTCTTGGATTTTCAGAACTCAGATTGAGTTTGTGGGAATGAAAAATGGCCTTGGGAATAGTCATATATATATATATATGTAATAGAGTTATCTCATCTTGCATGGTTAAGTGGGTTCTTAAAAATTTTATTTGAATTATGCCAGAGGTAATGCAGCAGATACCATGTAGGCAACCCTGCCAGAGAAAACTGCACCACTGCTAAGCCATTCCCGTAGCAAAATAGCCCCAGACTTGATGCTTTCAGAATAGGTCTTGGATGTAATGAGGCACAGTCTGAGAAATCAATCCCCAATACATTCTGCCCTCGGGATGAGCACAGAACCACTGGAAAAACACATGCACTGCCAGCAGAGGGAAGAGATGGCCGTGGGCCAGGGCCAGCCCCTGCAGCTGCTGGGAGCAGGTCAAGGGCCACGCACCAGCCCGGGTACGGGAGATTGACTATCACGGCCCTCACTGCTGCCTGCTAGGAGCAGCTGCTGCTTCCATACCCTCCCCAGGCTCTCATCCCTCCCCTGTGCTCTGCATGCCATGCCCCTGCAGAGGGACTGCTGCAGGCAGGGAGCATCCCAAACCCAAGTCTCACTGATGCCCATACAGAGCAGCCGCAGTAGGTTTGCTAGGTTCGTTTAGCTCTATCCTGTATCTCCAAACCTCTGCTGGTGGGCCAGCAGTCCCAGAGAAGTCCCTGCAGGAGTGCAGGAGGCTCCAGTGAGGCAGAATGTCCCTGCAGTTGTCTGTGCCCTGGTGTTCTCTGTCACCAACAGGATGTCCCCAGAACCTTGGTACTTTTCAGAGTGTGGGGATAGGGGTATGGGCAACCACTTATCACAGAGTCTTTAAAGACAGGAACCTTTCAAATGCCATTTTGAGGGGAAGCTCTGTTGCTCTTCTTGGGTTTGGGGAGCTGCTGATGGACTAAAAAAGCTGTGAGAACAGTATTTTCAGTCAAAAGTTCCCTAGCTTTCCCTCGATCCTTTCCCATTCAATTCCTGATTCAGTGACATGCTGCAGGATGTGTGCACTGCAACTTGGGACCCCAAGTGTTTGCTTTTAAGGCTTATTTGCTAATGCCAGAAGACATTGGTAACAAGTTAATTATACTGCTGAGTAATGATCCTTGCATAAATATTCAGTCCCTGGTAGCAGTTGTTTTAAGACAGAAAATGTGGCTCTTGCCTAAGAGGACAGGTCCCTGTTCTGCACAACCAGGGAACTCAAAAAATGGAAGATAACAACTCAGACTTTGTACTTCTTTAAAGCTTCATGTTTTCCCCAATGTTTTCCCAGGGCAATTCACCAACTCCTGTGCTGTATACCTTCATTAATGACTTATTAAGCTGACAGTGAAAACATACTTCTCTTTTTTCACTGTTTGCAGGTCACCTGCCTATACTTTGCAGCTGCTTAGGAGCAAGGTATTGCAAGGGAAGAAGTTCTGGGAAAACTTGAAGTGTTTGCAATTTGTTGTTATAGATTTGGTTGAAAGGTGTTGATTTCAGTGGACTTTCAGTCAGGTCCCATATACATATATTGCATGCTTGCACACAGAGCTTACCTATTTCTTGCTCTGTCTTTTTGAAACATCTGACTTTAAATACGTGTATATGTATAGATTAGATTTTTCCTGGGTTCTACTGATTTAATTTCTTGGCTACATTATTTACTTTAAATCTTATAAATAATTAAAATTTCTTTTAAAATTAATGTAATTTTTACATTCAATACAATTAAATTTGAGCTTTTGCTTGTACGTTTATTTATTATTTTCCTTTTGATTTTATTTCTAGCCTTTGAAGTAAAATTCTTAATTAAGTTATGTGACATCTGTTCTCTGAATCACCTCTTTTTTCTCTCAGATGTCTGGAACTTCTCAAAGCACACAGATATTTTGGCTACCTCTTTTTGAGAGTAGAGACTTAATTTTAAAATTAAGCTCTGCAACTTCTACTGTAGAATTTACATATGACAAGTAAATTTGTATTGAGCTGACTCATTTTACTTCTGTCATGCATAATCACACTTGTGTATCCAATATATCAGCTTCTTTTTCTGCATTATTATCTCTGTGCATATTGAAATTTAATTAAAGAGAGCATCTGAGATATAATGGAAGTTGAACCAAAGGGGTTTTCTGCCATCTGAGTTTTTGAGAGCTTATTGTTTTTTTGATTATAGAAGTTTCTTCTCACCCAAAGCACAGCTTTCAGTGTTAGCAGTATCCGTATCAGCTACAGAAAACATTGTCTTCACTTTGCACTTCATCAGGCCCTGGATGTTAGACAGCACATCACCGCTTAGGGCATCTGCACTGCATTCCTTGAAACTCCAAGGCATGAGGTGTAAAATTCATCTCTGAGTATCTTCATGCTGCACATTCTGCTCAGACTTGAAAGTATTCCACTTCCCCAGAAAGGTTTCCCATGCTATTTCATGGGAATTTGGTAACCAAACGCCAAGATTGTAGCAAGTTAAGGGATATGAAAGCAGTATGGGCTGCACTGAATGTGTTTAATTTTGCTGTTCTTTTCCAAAGGCTAAGGAGTTATAATTTATTCCTAATATTGTGACATAATGTCATCTAAACAGATCAAAAGATGAATGAGAGCAGCATATTTAAGGAACAGAGGTAGTCAATAGATCAAGCTTTGTTTTATACGGAGAATCTGGTAAGAATTGTTAACGTAAGTTCAGACAAATGATGGAAAATTGAACCTGATATGATCATCCTTGCAGCATTCCCAGGTTAGACAATTCCTTCCCCATGTCTGTTAAAGGCAAGCCAGCCCACCACTGTCCTATAAATAGATGTGGTCTTCTCTTCCTTCTCTCTAGGTGATGTTTACAGAAGAGGATGTCAAGTTCTACTTAGCTGAGCTGGCCTTGGCATTAGACCACCTCCATGGTCTTGGAATTATTTACAGGGATCTAAAACCAGAAAAGTAAGTTAACAAGGAAAAATGAACTGAAACATAAATACAGGAACTTTTAGGTTGCTTCTGCTCCTTGTCATGCTAGTAAATGAAGAGGTGCCTGGGGCTCTGCCTTCCTTCTTTGTGAGACTCTACACGAGACCATCACTAACAGTGGCAGGGTTTTCCTATCATACCATCTTAGCATGAGGCCAAACGTTTTGACTGTGCTCCAGTATGATGGGACCTCTGTGTGCCTGGTCTTCAGTTCTGTGAATGATTTCAGTAAAGCATTCAGAGCCCTGTGCCTTTAACTTTACCATTCTTTGTTTGCAGCATTTAACCTGGCCTTCCCCTTGATGCAGTGTAAACCACTGAGAGCAGCTCCACTTCCAGCTCATATGGAATATGGCATGGCAACATTCGGTTTTAATGTAGCCTTTCCTTAAATGAGCACATCCTTTTTTTATTTTCAATACATCAGTAAAGCAAATGACACCCCCAGTGCTATCACTGGGAGTGACGTGATACTGTTTTTATTCTGTGCCTTTGCTTGGTGTTTTGCTGGATTCTGCTGTGATGACTCAAATGAATCAGGCTGCAACATTCCAAAGTTCCTTTCTAATGTAATAGTCACCAGCATTTATAAAAGATAACCACTGAGGGCACTCTGTTTGGCAATTGTTTACACTTTTGAAGTCTAACAGCACAGCAGCATTTTCCTTCTATGACATCAAATTGAAAAATACGCAGCTCATTCTTTAAAATGGAGTGTTACTGTTTCCACTCTCATGGGCAAAACAGGAGACCAAAAGCGATGGAAGGTGGACTTGGTAGGTGAGAAGCTGAAAGGGAGGAGACTGCTTATCTCCATTGCAGTTCTATGAGACTTAAATTTTAAATTCAATTTTATGTTTTGGTTAGAAAAATAGTAGTAGCAGTAGTAATACTCTGAAATCAACAGATGTACACAGCAAGAGGTCTCAGTCTTTTGGCCTAGAGGACTTTTTGCAGTTGACCAAATTTCCAATCTTGCCCATTTATGCAACCAAAACTGGAAACCAGAGTCTTTGGCAAATATGGGAAGTCATCCTACAAATTAAACAACTGGAGGGAGAAAAGTGTCAGTTTGTTCCTGATATGAAATGCAGGTAGGCAGTGGTGACACCACAGCTGCTGCAGCCACAGGGCCTTGCATCATCTGCCAGCAGCTCCTCGGTTTCAATTTCATTCTGAATTGCTGCTTTATCCATTCAGCATTGTCTTGGTTTGAAAAGACAGGTGTCTGCTAAGGAAGGCAGGAGCCTGCCTTGAAATGGAAAATGTAAACCCCCTCCCTCCAAATTATTATAATTTTGAAATTAAGGGGCTCTCAGGCAAAGATATGGGAGTAGGAATAACAGTCCTTTATGAGTATGTATAAATAAAAAGAAAATCTATGACTTAATGGGAAAATCAAAATAAAATGCAGTAGTATAAAAAAACAAGGCACTGTCAGAATCAGAATACAACCTGACACCCTGTTGGTCAGGCTGTTGGTAGCACTCTGATTAAATGGTGGCTGCAGTCCTCCTGCAGTGACAGATGTGGTTCTGTTGAAGCAGTGATCCTCTAGAAGGGTGTAGTTTTCCTCTGGAGGTCCAGTGGTGATGTAGATGGGTCCAGTTTTCCTCTGGAAATCCAGTGGAGAAAGGCTGACTGAAAGGTGTTCCAAATCTCAGATTATATCCAGGTAGGAATTCTTGGCTCCTCCCCCTGGGTGGAGCATCTGACAATGGGATGATGGAATTTATCAGTCCTGCAGTGAGACTCAATGGCCCATTAACAGAAGATATCCCCCTGGAGTTATGAGGGATGGGGTATGGAAGAGATAAAGAACACTGCCCCAGCTGCTTTTAACAGCTGGTAATAGAATACATCTGGTTACAGCTTGCATTGCAAGTCAAGACAATCATCAACAAACATATACAAAATAGAGTAACTTGAGTTATAGGTTTTCTGTTTTAAACTTTGATTCTAGTGAGCATTAGTATGAATCATGTACACTGCTTTTCTCTAAAATTGTTCATCATATTTGAGATACTGAGAACTGGATTTTTCTGAGCTCTTAGCAGGAAGTATCACTTAGCATCTCAATAAACATCTCTCAGTGACTGCAGTTGCAAGTGAGAGCACTTTATATTGCTGCAGACCAAGCTGCAGTGCTTCAGATCAGGGATCAGTGAATCAAGAATTTGGAGCTTGTCTAAGGAAGGAAGGTGTCACTGATTTGTCATTGTCACACAGAAGCATATTGAAAAGGTACAGATGGAATCCAGTTTTCTCCATGTTTTTGTCTTAGGTGAGACTAGCTATTCCCTTCACTCTACTGCTGTGCTAAAATCTCTCCCAGAGTGTTACCAGTCTGCCAACTGAGACAAGATTTCTCTGGAAGAAAATAAAAAGTATCATCACATAACTGAAGACCTTTACACAGAGAGATCACTGTGTAAAGTTAAGGTGGCAGCCCTCACTCTTGTATTTTCTAACTTTTGTATATAGGTTTTATGGTCTTTGATGTACATTTAACTGGATTAACTGTAATACAGTTTAATTTGGAGGTAATTGATCTAGTATAAAATTAGTTTACATTAATATAACTTTTATATAGGAAAGGGAATGACCCAGAAGTTCATACCTGGAGATAAAGCAAGGCCTCTGATTGAAAACCATATCCTCTAAAAATAGCTCTGTAAGTGCAAAGCCCATGTGTAGTCACACCTAGGAGAGCAGAGCATGACAGCCCATGATTTCTCTGGAACTTTAGATTTCCAAAAGCTAAATTTTTGAGTTACATCTGGGAAAGAATATCTTTCTAAATAAGATGTTAAAAGAAAATTAGGACCATCCCAGGATGTTCTCATCCTTCCCTTGCCCCCCGGCAGGATCAAGACAATAACAGGTGTGTTGCTAACCTAGGCTTAAAACAGCTGGTCTGGACTCCATACTGTGCCCAGGAGGCCTCTTGGCAGTGTTCCTGCACTTGTTCATCTAAATGTTGCTCTTAATAGCCAGTTTGGAATTTCTTCCCTGCCACTGCAGGGCAATGCTCCTTGGCATGTCCTCCTAGAGGCCCCAGCCTGCTTGTTCTGTTCTCAACAGCAGTCTCGGGGGATTGTGAGAGCATCCTTTTCCTTAGACCCTCTTCTGTACCCTAGACAATACAGATACTGAACTCTTCTTCACTAGTCAGTCTTTACAGGGGTTCAGTCATTCTCATTACACCCCTTTGGTTTCCCTTGATTCCTCTCTCCTTTGAAGTGCAACGTGCAGGATCACACACACTCATCTTCGGCAGAGGCATTACCAGCATGATTACAGTACAAGGTTTGCTCTGTCAGATTTGCAGAAATGGAGATAAATTAATTAATTCATAATTTCCCAATTCTCTCTCTCTCTCTCCTCTCCTCTCTCTCTCTCTCTCTCTCTCTCCCTCTCTCCCCTTTAATAAAGATAGGCACTGCATTAGACCTTTCATTGTTCAGTGCTTTTTGATGTTATTCAGAAGCTCCCAAAAGTAACTGCTGATAGGTTTGAGTTCGCTTGTCAGCTCTGTAAGTGTGCTAAAATCAAGCTCATTTGAATTGTTTATGCTAAAAAAAAAAGGAAAAGAAAACAGCACTGTTCAAACCACTTGGAAGAACCCTCAGCACATTAAAATTTAAGGTTCAGCTTGCTTTTTTTTTTAATATTCCCTGAGCAAAAATCCATGTTAACAATTCAAAGCGATGAGTTAATTTCTATTGCAGCTGGGAGTTGTTCTCAAGTCAGCTGTACTTACTTCAAAAAGACCAGTCATTGAGCTTTCTGGTTAAAGTCTTGTTTAGAACAAGCAGATACTTCTCTTGAATTGTTGCAGACAAATTCTTCTCCTAGAGTTGTCTAGGTGATTTCAGTGGCATCCCTTGTGGGACAGGGTATTGTTCAGTCACACTGGGAGCCCCTGAGTTCCTTACATGGTGAGGCATGTTTGTACTTAAGAACTGAATAACCAAGATAAAAAAATTGGTATATATACCCTGGTATATATGGTAAATATAGCAAAATAGAAAAATGGAAACTTAATATAAAGTACTCTATGATGTATATGTTATTTCTTATGCTGTGGTTTAAGGGTATAAGTGACTTAGAAATAACTCTACCATCTGAAAATGGACAAACTATTATTAATCTTTACCATTTATCTTTTCAGGAACCTAGATGCACCTTGAGTTCTGGAATAGGGGCTTAGGTTAACAAGGAGTGATGTACATTTTAAGGCCATCAGTTGCCTACACGAGGGACAGTTCATATAACAACTCATATAACAAATTCAGATATGTTGAACCATGCTCTAAAAAAGCCAAACACCACTCTTTAATGCAGCGTGTTGCCATGACTACTGATTTATGAATGTAACTGCTCTGTGTAGAGAGGGGAGATCTGAGAATCAGTAAAGACAAAGGCCAGTGGTGGAAAGTTTCCATTGATGAAAGCAGTCCCTTTTTCACTTCATGGTGTCAACAAAGCTACAGCAGAGAGCAATTTGTGTTCAGCAGGGTGAGATAGCATGGGGTCATGTGGGATAGGATGAGGTCATGCAAACACTGACATGTCCCAGAACACTGACAATTTGTGAGAATATTCATCTCTTTAGTAGATATTTGACTATTTCATCTGGTACTTTCATAACAAAATGTGAAATGAATTAAAACACTCTTGATAAAGTCTCAGGTTTTATTTCCCACCTGAAAATTTGACTTCAGTTTCTGATTAACATAAAGTGTGGGTTGAATCTTCTGCAAAATTGCTCTCACTTAGAAAGCAACTTAGATCATCCAGAAAAAAAATACAAACAGAAAAAAAAACCAACAACCCAACCAAACCAACTCCATAGTTCCAGCTAATTTGGCAGAACTTCACATTGATTTGGGGATGTTGGAGCTCAAACTGAAGCCCAGAAGATATGACTCAAAACCAAAAATAAAGAGCGAGAGAGAAATGGGAGAGAATTGTTCAGGCTTTGATTTAAGACATTATATAAAACAAAGCCAACAACCCATAATGAAAGATTTTTTTTCCCTGTGTTAAAGTTGCAGCAGAAAATTTGATATGGAATTTGCAGTCCTAGCTTTGCTATGAGACTTCTCCTGTAACTTGGACTATGTCATTCCTCTGCTATAAATTTACCTGCCCCAGCCTCCAGCATGGAGATTCCCAGCCTTGATTTTCTCAAGGCATACTTTTAAAATGAGCTCAGTGAAAGCATATGGTGTTTGAAAATTTGTGGAATGATCCTGATGCTAAAATGTTCAATCACAGAATAATAGAATATCCTCAAGATAATCCCAAGAATCACACCATGTTTCTGTGTGTTGCCCAAACACTCCTTGGACTCTGTCAGGCTGGTGCTGTGACCACTTCCCTGAGGAGCCTTTTCCAGTTCCTAACCACCCTCTGGGTGAATAAATTTTTTCCTGATATCCAACCTAAACCTCCCCTGACACAGCTTCAGTCCATTCCCTCAGGTCCTGTCACTGGTCACCACAGAGATCAGTGCCTGCCCCTCCTCTTGAGAAACCTGTAGACTGTGATGAGGTCTCACCTTTTATCTAAGAGACACCCTTATTTTGTGGCATTTTTTGTTCCAAGCCTATGTGTGGTTCACATATTTTTGGTGTTAGTATATTTTTCACCTAATAACTGTTACTACTGCTTTGAAGAGAAGGTTGACAATGGCAAAATCCTGTAAAAGCACTCAAGCATTAGGCAGAACAAATAACATGAAAATCTCCTAGCTAAAGTTTATCACATAGTGTGACTGACACCTAGTTTGGCATTTAAAAGTAGTCTACCTTTTATGGTTCTTATAATTTCAAAACATTAATTTAGATGAAAGATTATTCTCAAGCCTGAATCACATTAGAACTTTTGGTTCTTTTTCCCCTTCCATAGAACAATACTGTCTTATTTCAGATTAGTTTATCCTTCAAACCATAGCTAAAGTAATTGTGATTGTCACAATAGAATGTCTGCTATGGATATTGTGGGATAAAAAAGAATTGTAAAGTGATAAAGATACAAAGAGAGTATGATCAGATAATAAGTTTGCCTCTACTGTCACAGGAAAACTATTTGTCTGTTGTTGTAATTTGTATTCTTAGAAGCAGACACTTTGTTCTTTTCTTCTTAATTTCCCTCTAAGATAATTCAGTGCAACAGTTGCATTTTTTTCTTTTTTTTTTCCTCACTATTAGCATATTGTTTTCTTTTTACATGAAATATAATCTTCGATTACTAACTGTAGCATTATTGGTGCTGCCAGATGGCAAAGGTGGAGGCACCCAGATGTCCAGAGGGTGCTGCCAGGGGCCACAGAGGAAGCTGCCAGCAGCTGAGGGCATGGTAGAAGGGTGATTAGGGAACATGAGATGGAGGAAGGAACTGTAGATCACGTTTTAGGGGATATAGGATACACATCCATTGGAACCAGGATCTATTAATTTTGCTGCTCATGCAAAAAGTGTGAGAAAGAGTTGCTGTGTGTTTCTGACAACCTCAGGCAGTAGTACCAGTCTGAAAGCTCTGCTGGTGTTGCCTCTATCCCTTTAATTGAGAGTAAGGTGTGAACCCTTTAACCAGGGCAAAGTATGGGAAACATACATAAAGCAGTATATATTTGGTATCTGTACATACCAAAGCAGCAAGGATTTTCGATAGGAAATTATGAAATTATGAAATTTAAAGCCCATTAAATGTTAAATTAATGTTTCTGGGGAAATTCCCACAACCTTTGAATTGCAGTTGTTCACAGGATCTTCCTGGGTGTGTGGCAAAATTTTGGGTGATTTCTGTGAGCTCTATTCCCACTGCTGTTTTTCCAGGTCCAGGTCTGGAGAGTTCATTCATTCGTGCTCACTTCCACACTGGCAGGTGTTTTACTCTGTTCTCTTCTGAAGCACAAGTTTAGGGGTTGGAGTCACAAAAACACATTTAAACATGCCTGGTAACCTAGTACTTGAAAATTACGTGTTCAAGGAAACTGCAGAGAAAGAATAAAGAAAAGATGCTTTTATGGAGGAGGAAAAAAGGCTTTAATTATTGGACTTATGGTACTCAGTTGCTGGCCTTTGATGACTTGTACAACATCTTTTTCTAAATACATGGATGACAGAGGAGCATCTTTTTTTCATCCTATTTTCTTCCTGAATAATTAGATTAAAGTGATTCTCTAAGAGAAGAGGAATATAAAAATAGCTGGCACCATGCTAGATCAGTTTGAAAAGAGAAATATACTAACTAGGACTGTAGAAAGACCACCTCCATTACTATGTCACTTTTTATTTACCAAAAATAATTCTTTTTCAAATTCAGTATTCCTTCTTGTTTCCGCAAAAACTAGCACTGCTTTTTGTGAACTAGAGAAATTTTGGAGTGCCTTTGTGAGGAAAAAAATATGTTGGCAAGTGGCAAATGTGAGAACACTTGAATTTGGCTTCCAGGCTGAATTTTCATCTGTGCTCTGGACAGAAAAAATAAGCAGAGGCTGAGATCCATGCAGTGAGGCTGTGACTAGTCACTGTGCTCTACAATGACTTTTATTACTTCAGTATGAACCTTTGGACTTAATTTTAGGTCCAGTGAATCCAAGCCCCAATTATTTGTGTGATTGCCTTTTATTATGACAAGACCAGGAAACACGTAGCTCCTTCTCCTGCTGGCAGGATATACTCTGCAGCTGTTGGCTTTGAACACCCTGTTCTTTCTGAGCTCCATTTGCATGCCCACCTTGAACATCCTATGGAGCACAGAGGAGGCTTCTCATGGAACTGCCTCAGGCTGTGCATGCTTCAGACATGAGATTAAACAAACCTCTGAGGTTCATTTCTCTTTCTGGAGCCATAGAGCCCATTAAAGTTTTGTTTTTGTAAGTATTTGAATCTTGCATATCTCCTTACCTGACTTAAACATTTTTTATTCATGTTTTTTAACTTTGTGCCTGGCTAATGAATGAATGTTTTCTTTTTGTTTTACAGCATTCTACTTGATGAAGAGGGTCACATTAAGATAACAGGTATGTGAGGGACAGAAAACTTCGTGCCTGTAAGCTGATTTATTTTTTTTCTGCAGTATATTGCATGGATCCTGGTCCTTGGTTGGAAGGAGCTTGCTTACAAAAACTAGAAGCCAGAATGAGCGTTAAGCTTCTCTGTTGATTTGTCAACCCCCATGCTGCACAGCACATGGAGAACATGGCATTCTCTTGGTGAAATTGTACTCTTGACTGACGTGAAGCAGACAGGTTTGGCTGCCTGCCACTGCAGATGGAAGGATGTTTACAATATGACTATTTAATCCAGACAGAGGATGACTGGAAAGACATCCCTTTGCCGCTCTAGAGGCACTGTCTAGCCAACCTTTTCACTGGTGTAATCTGGGATTATTATTCTTAACACTGGTTAGCTGTGCAACAATCCTCACTAGCGTTGCCTTCACCAAACCTGAACTGTATATATCTGCTTATTTAAACTCCCTTCTGCCTTGAGCCAGAGCCTCATTCTGACCAGGGAAAATGCTATGCCTGTTTTCAGGGTGTACTAATAAGTGCCAGGCACTCCATGTAGGCACACACGTGTCTGTAGCCTCTTTCTGCACATAGAAGGGCACTCCACCAGCTGTTTGGCGTGTATTGTTCAAACAATTTAAGCGAGCAAAAGAAAATTATTTTTTTTTATTATTATAAAAAATAATTTTAGAGACCTGACAAGACTTTTTCCTGCTTCAATTTATGTAGATTTTGGTCTGAGTAAAGAAGCCATCGACCATGACAAGAGAGCGTACTCGTTCTGCGGGACAATAGAGTACATGGCCCCGGAGGTGGTCAACCGGCGAGGACACACGCAGAGTGCCGACTGGTGGTCCTTCGGCGTGCTCATGGTAATGCAAAAATTGTGCTTGTCTGCTGGAGGGCTGGCTGTGGGAGGGATCACATGCCTCAGATAAAAAGTGCAGTGTCAGTGAAGTTTTTCAGGGAGGTGCTGCACTCTCCTCAAGCCGTTTAAAATTGAGTGTTCAGATGGTAGCCTGTCCCCACCCGACCCTGCACCCTCCAGCCTCTTCAGTCTGTGTGCTACTCTTGCTGAGGTAGAGGAAGAAAAGGTTGAGAAGTTGGTTTGTGAAGCTGTGATTGTTTTTTCCAAGCTGTATGAACACTGTAAGTTTTTGGAAGCAGATGTTTGCAGCATTGTTTTATCAAGCAGAGTGCTGTCCCTTGAGCCCAGACACCAGGCATCTGCTCCTCTCACAGGGATATGTTTGGATAACAGCAGTGGAGCTGCTCTCTCCTGAGATGTAACATGTGCTCAGGGCATGGCTATCACCAGGGCACCTCGCCGTGGTGCTCACAGCAGAACCAGGGCAGAATCAGAAATTAGCATAGCAAAGTGCTCTTCCAATGCAGCACCATTTCCTGTGGTATGGCAGCTGTTTTTGGTAGCTATACATTACAGAACATACCAAAATCCATAGAATATGTTTCAGTTTTGTTTTCCTGAAGCTGACAACTGATGCCACCAGAGGCAGTAAAGGAAGCAATGTGAAAAACAGTTAAATTTGGGGTTGGAGAGGGCCTACATCACTGATCTAGCAGGTTGGCAGCAGTTAATCTACATAAATATTGTCATTTATGGCCTGAATTATAAAAGGAGTGGAACATCCTTATCTCCTGTGGCCACAAATCCATTTGTGGATGCTCAGCACTTCTGAACCATGTACGTTTATTCACAAAAATCAATAGGTTATGTGGCATAGAATAAATCTATCTCTACCCTTTAACTTTTTTATTATATATTTATTTTTGGTGAATAGCTGTGCCTTCTCATCCTTTCTCTCCCATTAAATGATGATGCATTTGGTGTACAGATTGTTATTCTTTCACCAGTTAAAAAACTCTTAAATAAACTGGACTACTACTTCCTCTCCGGGTTTTGCTAGGCATGCTTATTTTTATTTTTTTTTTCCATTGCTCTTTTCAACCCTCCCCTAAGGATTCAGCATATTAGAATTAAAAAAGATAAGAATCCCTATAACTGGAGATGAATTAAAGAAAGTAAAACCCTTTTAACTCCAAGCTAATGCTTTAAGCCTTTAAGACATCTTAGAGAAAAATATGTCAGTCAGTTCAACCTTTTTCCCTTTTCAACATTTAGCTGGTTGAGACAGAAAAACATATATTTCCCCACACAAAACCTCTGGGAGGGTTTTCTGATGCTGTCTTTCACTCTGCTCTTTTCTCTTTGTTTTCCTTGTTCTGTCACATGTATGTTCTATTACAGAAGCTGGTTTTCTGTCAGTCTGAAAAACTGAAGATAATTAAATGGTATTCAAATGATTTATTAGCATTTCTTCCTAATCACTTTGCAGTATGACGTAAAATGAATGAAGAAAATATAATTTTATATGTATATATAATTATTTTATAATTCATTTTACTTTTATAATAATATAATAATTGTATATGTAAAATAAATGAAAGAAAATATACCGGTTGATGAAATACACATAGCTTCAAAAGAAGTGTATGTGATAGTGAAATTTTCATATCTAAAATTTTTATCTAAAAATGGAATATATTAGGCAGATAGTTACAGCATGGCCTATATCTTCCTCATCATCAGAGCAACAAAACACTCACTTGTCTGTTCTGTTCTGTGAAGGGGGGTTGATGTTACAGCCTGAGCAGCTGGGTTGTGCTGGCAGCTTCTTGCCAACCTGCATTGACCAGAGCACAGACTAGAATCAAACTGAATGATCCTTACACACTCATTAAGTGTGGCTTGTTGTGATTATTAATAGCAAACAGACTTGTCTGAAAATGACTAAGTTCTGGTCTTATTTATTAATTGAGTTATTAATTGTTTTGTGAATTATTATTCACCAGGAGTTTTACTGTCAAAGCAGTAAAACATCATTTACTGCCAGCTAGGTCTTTGACACAGGCCACACAACTGAAACTGTTACCTGCTCTGTTTGTTTGCTGCTCAGTTTATTTGAATTGTTTTATGGCATTATGCAGATTGTATGTCAGCAGGTACAGTTTCACAAATCTTAAAATTTGCCCCTTCCAGCATCCCAGAAGACAGCCCCTGCTTCTCATTCAATATGTGGTGATGACTGCTGAAACCCAACTATAATTTCTGCTGGTGAATCTATGTGGTTTATCATGAGCAGACAGCCTTTTCTGCCTTTCTATATCTTGTTCACTCTATGTTTTGGATAGGATATAATCTGCAAAAGTTTTGCATCAAGAGATCTTCATGAACAAGTGTTTGGCCTTCATTGTTAAAAAGTTGAATATGTAACTAATACCTTTTCAGCTGCACTGCAAGAGTCTTGATGCCCACACTGCCATCTCTGAAGCCCAGATAAACTGATCTGCCTGATCTAACATGTGAAAATCTCTTGGAAGGCTTCAAAAAAGCAGTGCTTTTGTAGTTCATCCTGCCAGCTGATTTACAAGGTCATAGACCTTACCGAAGTTGCATTCTTATAGTTCAGGAAAAAAATACTGTACACCTTTGAGAGTCATGTGAGCAGAGAGGGGACTATAATTAGAGAAATGGCTGTGATGAATTGGTAGCAGTCCCAAACAAGAAAAAATGTGTTCATAGGTGTCAGCAAGTAATTATGTCTTCACAAGAAAACAAAATGTCCCTTTGGTATCCAAAGTATTTAGCTCTGTACTAATTTTGTAGTAACTATACAGTGGCATTGGAAAAATCAATGCAAGACATCAAAGTATTACAATCTTCTTTTATGAATTCCCATTATAACACTTGTTTTATTGCCAGTGCAAGAGATGGTCTTCATGAACATTATTTTGAATGTTTATGCTTGTTGCTATGTTAAGGGGTTCAACCCCTTGTGAGCACTAATCATTGTGTTTCACACACACAGATAGTGAAAAATATTTAATGCATTTTGCAAGTATTAAACTGAATGCTTGAGCAGTTCTCACATACCTGGAAAATGACTGGGAGTGTTGAGAGGAGAACCTGGCCATTCTCTGTTTTCCAAAACTGAGTGGTCTCCTGTTTCTTTGTACCTCTGAGTTTTATCCTATGATCACAATACTTCAGCAGACTTGGGCTGAAGTAGTTTGCACAACCTGCTCTCCTTCCACCTTTTAGGAGGATTCATATGGTAGTTACCCAGGCTGAGGATTTTTTCTCATTCATTATCTTCTCCAATAACCTTTCTGGGTCATTTCTTGAATCCTGAATTTCCTCAGGAAATATGGCACTCTTTTTCCACAGTCTTCCCACATGTATGTCTTCTGGGAAATGCTCATGTTTTGGCCACCAAAATTGGAGACTGCCCTGAAAACTAGAGAAAGGAAGCACTGCATAGTAAATTGAGACCTCAGCAGGGGTTGGATTATGTGACTTCAGAGCCCCCTTCCCATTAAGCCTAATTCTGTGGTTCTCTAAACAACCAGCTGAATTGGAACAAAGAATATTTGCCTTTCTTGCAATTTCTTTGGTACAGAAAGGAAGTCAAGGCTGGAGGAAGGTGCAGTTTTCTGAAGTACTGTCTAACAGAAGATGGCCCTCCAAAACACCTGGGAAGTAAATTGGTGGGAAGCAAGGAGCAAACAGATGGTTTCTACAGATGGGGAAGTAGGGAGAATGAAAACTGAGTCTCCCAGCAAAACTATTGGGACTGCTTTAATAGACAAAAATACTGTAGAGATCATTCATCCCTAGTTCAGATTCTTGTCAACCTGCTGTGACCCATACAGCTCTGTATCTACGTGCAAGAGCAGAAACAGCATGTTCTCACTTCTGTTTGCATGTTCAGGTTTAGCAAGATTATTGACTTTTTGAAAAAATAAGCAGGAAGACAGGTCATTGTGTAGTGAAAGGATAGCTTTAACTGATGAAACAAACAATTTAATTTTTTTTTTTTCAGTCTTGTTCTTTCATTTTTAACCTTCAACACATTTAGTCAGGCCGGCAGTTGAGAAACTAATGTTTTCTTCCAGATACTGCTTAGCTAAGTTCATTGAAGTAAAAAGCTCTGGTACAGTTAACTTACGTGCCTGCCTTTCACTTTAAATATTGATATTAAGTGCATTTCTTCCGAACCTGAATTAATCACAACATTAGGCCTGCACAATTGGAGATGTGGTAACAAAGTGCTGGCCATTACAGCAGCACTGTAAATGTTTCCTGCAGCCTCCAGGACAGTCATTCCCCCTGCTCCCTCCTGCAACTTAAATTTCTTCCAAATTCCTTCCTTCTTGTTTCCATCCCTTGCAGCCACAGTGCATTTGCAGGAATTCCTGGGATATTGGGATGGGTGGGAGCGACAGCCCTTTCCCACTGACCAGGCAGTTGCTTATATCTGTATCATCTGCATCAACAGCGTCAAGCCCATTTGTGCCAGTATAAATGAGATGTAGCAGCCATTGCTGGTGCCGCTAAATTAGATTTATAATAATAACAAAGGAACATGAGCAAGTGTAAGTGAGCATTAGGTACTTACTGTGAGCATAAACACTCTAGAAATCATGAGGAGGGTTTGGTACAATCTGTACCATTTATGCTGCTGCCCTGGGAAGCAATGTTCTCTGCCCCTCGTTCCCAATATATCTGAGCATTTTTATCAGAACTAAAGCTCTAATAGGTCAGGATTACTTTGAAAATAGTATTTAAACTCCAGCATCATCTAGTCAGGTTTAAAAATTCTCCTCCATTGTGTTTCTTTGTAGAAAATTAGCTGCTTTCCTCCAGGTCTACCAGGCAGCCTCTCCTAACCCAAGCAGAAGTTAATACATTTGCTTATTTCGAACCTTGCTTATATTTGGCAGCCATATACATTTTCTTTTAAGTGGTTTTAATTCAGTTTCTCCTATGTGTTTTAGTGCCTTGAGGTAATTTGTTACTAGTGAAGATTAATCCTTCAATTAAGTATATTCAATTAGCTATCTGGCTTCTAAACATCTCCTCTGCCCTTCTCCCAGAATTAGCATAGCAGTTTCACCATCAGTTTTCTTCTGTTTTCTATATTTTTCTTCTGATATAGCTGTACTTAATCTGGGCAAAAGGAAGAGTCAGGCTGTGGGGCAGTCTGACACAAGTTTTGGTAATGAAAGAATCTTAGCACAAACGTGCATTTTGGCAGCACTGTGGTTCCTTGTGGGATAAGATACAAAAGCTACATAAGGCTTTAAGAGTCTTTCTTGTCTTAGCAGATATTTGCTTATAGCAGTGAGTATTAATTATTAGATTAATTAATTACTGTAATTAATCAGCTTACTGTAGTACAAGAGATCCAAAGCCTGAGTGACAGGCATAAGTAACAGTTCATGTTATGTTCAATGGACAGTTTTCCTTTGTGTCCAAGCTCAATTATGTTCTTGATGTCTTTATATTTGGTGATGCACAGCCTTCAGCTTCCCTTAGCCAGAGAAAAAAGCTGCCACTCCATAAAACTCCATGGCAAGAGCTGTGTGATAGACCTGGTATTGAATCCAAGTTAGGCAAGCTTCTTCAACTGGGGTTTTGTTGGGTTTTTTCACTCCTTACAGATGTGAAATTCCTGTCAAATTTAATGAAAGCACTAATCTGTCTCCAAGGAGCCATAACTGATTGATGTTTTAACACTTGAGTTAGGCAAATAATTGATGATGACTGTTGAGTTTTGCTTTGAGATTTGGGTTCAGTTAAATGTGGCATTTATGAGATTCATCACTGAGTACAGCCAGAGGAACTGAAGCAGGAGAGAAAAGGCACACTCAAAAGCTTTGAAAATATGGGGTTTAGTCTTGTTCCTCCTGCAAAATATGGTAGAGACATCTTTAAGTGGTGCAAATATACAATCAAAGAGGTGGTTTGACTCAACCTAGAAAGGTGGGGAGTGGTATATCAAATCCATTTTCCATAGTAATCTGTGCCAAACACCCCAGAAGAGCCATATCCATGCAGGCTAAGGGTCCCTCCATCCAAATACCTCATTGCCAGCATTGGTTGTATAACAGCAGGTGCTGGAGGAAACACCATATATGACACTTCTTCCCAAACATACCAAAACTTGACAACAAATATCAGTGTAAATAGTTTGCAACACGTCTCTGGAATGGAACAGTCATCCAGACTTGCTGTGCCATTTTTTTCTGAAGCACAGCTTGTTGGATCATTTCTTTTCCTCTAGTTTTCAGTTGTGTTGGAAATAGAAGATGGGTGTGGTGTGTTTGGGCTTTGCAGACCATCCCAATGTGTGTTTGATTTACCATTTTGTTGCTACTCCACAGTTTGAGATGCTGACGGGATCATTACCCTTCCAGGGAAAAGACAGAAAGGAGACAATGGCTCTCATTCTCAAGTGAGTATCAAAACTGCTTTCATTCTTCTAACTGCAAGTTAACTCTACCCTCTGATCACTCCATAGAGCCCAAGCATGTGATGGTAGAGAATAATGATATGCATAATGAACTTTCCAAAGCCATGAAAGGCGTGAATTTAGTAAGACACACATGCCTGATGCCTGTGTTCAACTCTAAAATTGCCTTCAGAATAAACAGTAGGAAGTGAATTGCTGAGAGAGCCTTACAAAATAAATTTATCTTACTTTTTGTGACAATGTCAGTATCCACAAAATGTGGGAAAGTCAGATTTCTTCAGGACATCTTATATTTTGTTGTTGCCAAGTTTCAAATCTTTCCTTTGCAATGTCTCATTTGTTTAATATTAAATGCAGACAAAAGCATTTGAAGCTTAGCTTTGCTCACTAGTGCATTTTTTTATGTAGTGGTGAATGGCCAAGAGAAAAGTTTTAATCTGTTTAAACAGTATGCAGTTTAGTATAATCTTTTTCATTAAGTTTGATTGTTTAAATTCCTCCTGATTCCCAAATTTATTTCAGCAAACTTAGAAAGTAAAAAAAAAATCTGTAGTAAAATGACCTATTTAGGTTGCAAAAGTTATATGAGATTCATTAGATTCATTCTCTACCTCTAGTGAAGTCAGTGATAAAACCTTCCTTAAGAATAGCAGAATAAGATCAGCTTCTCACTCTGTGTTGCACTATGCTTAGGTAGCCTTTGGTGTGTCTGCCCATCCTGACTACTACAGTTCCACTCTTGCAGCCACAGTGGGATGGAAAAAAAGCTTGAAAAATCTATTTTCTTTTCAAGTGTTGTGTTCTTTCAGAGCCAAGCTGGGAATGCCACAGTTCTTGAGCATAGAAGCCCAGAGCCTGCTGCGAGCCCTCTTCAAAAGGAACCCCTCCAACAGATTAGGTACGTGTGTGTTTGATCAGGACACTCGTTATGTGCTCCCTGCCTTGTCGGGTGGGGAGTTGTACCTCTCAGCTCATCTATTCCCATGGTTATCCTCTTCATTAGCTGGCATTTGGCATTCCTTCCCAGAGCACAGTGAGCCTTCAGCATCACTAGAGGAATTTGCAATGAGTACAGGCAAAGCACTGAAATCTAAAACATGATAATAACTTGTGTTTCATTTTTTTGGTAAAGATGGTGAGTGAACTGCCAGCTTTTATGAATGATTTAAGATACCTGCTCTGTATGATGATATAGGGAACTGAGAAACAAGTGTGGTACAAAATCTGTATAATTTAGCTGCAAATCTCAGGTTTCATCTCTCCCATTCTCAAATGCTTTTCAATCCTGTCTCATTCTATTAGCTAAGGGCAGTCTTGCAGTAGACTTTATTCTTTATTACCCAAATACATTGTCTTCTTTTTACTGTTGTTGATGCCTTAGAGTGGCTACCTAAAATAGAGGCTAGAGAGAGTTAAAGTGGGTATTTATTAATGGCCTTCAATAGATACACCTTGGGCAGTGCAAAAGCCTTGCAGAGGCTACATCACAGATGGAAAATGGTCACAAGGTTTTCAGACAGATATAAGTTTGGTCTATTTTCATATCAGGGGTTAATTCTCCAATTTTAGCTTCAGGTGATGAAGTCATACTCCCCCAGCTCGCTCCCCCCCACACAATTCCCTTTTGTTTATACTTTTCAGAGCCTGAGGCTGTGGTGTGTCCTTGGCACTCAGGCCTACAGGGGTTGTTTTGTCTAATCGAAACAGGAAGACAGTTAACTACACTTTATATGGAGTTTAGACCTATGCACTAATGTAGTATAGAATTTGAAAAATATAAAAGCTAAAATCTTAAGGCACCAATGTGTCTTCACCTTTTGTTAATAATCCTGTTTAGACTGTGATAAACTAAATATACGTATTGAATAATGTATCTTATGTTATCTTCTTTATTAAGAAATGAATTGCATTTGATGAGGTCATGGACAGTGCTTATGGCTTATTGCCACTGCAGATTTTGTTGTTGTTCCCCACAGGCACGTGGGGACAACCCAATCAAGCCCATTGCTGGGTGGCAGTGAGGAGCCAGCCCTGCAATATGCCACTGTGGTCCCTCTCCTTCCAGGGGGATCCCATATTGCCCACAGAGGGAATGCCTGCCCACCTGTCTTACCTCTCGATCTAAATGGTAGCCTTGTAGTCTGATGCACTGTAAATACGAGAGTAGAAAAACATGAGAGTAGAAAAACACATTTTCTCAGCAGGTTTCAATTGCTCTCATGCAGTGTGTTTTACCTTGTTAGAAATAGAGTATTGGGATTTCTAGATTTAATATCTGTTCAGGATAATTAGGTTCTGAACCAAACATGAACTTTTTCCCCTCCCTACCTCTGTTTCTTTCTGTTGTTTCCTCCCTGTCTCCATCTCTTGGTTTTATTCCGCTCTGCTCCTTTTCCATCCAAAATGGAGCTCCAGTGAAGTCAGTGGGAGTCTCTGGATACCAGTCCTTAAATAGAAAGCTACTCACTAAAACTTGGTTTTAGCCATAACAATTCTAGCCCTCATATATTAATAATGGGGAATTGCTAGGGGTCAAGGTTTTAAAACCTGAGGTTTATTGAAATACTGGGAAGGCTTGGAGGGGGGAAAAAATAGAAAGAAATAAATTATTTATAATACAAACATCCAAGGAAATAATATCTAAAAGACTAACAGAAGAATAGATCTTAACATTTCAGGGATAACAGTGGAAAGCTCCTGAAGGCATTCTCTGTTTTAACTGATTGAGAATCAGCACAAAGGAAGATGGAAAAGGACCTGTTGGTAACAAGAGAAGAAAAGCTTGAATAGTTGGCCTAAATACTGAACAGAAGTCAGTAGATAAAAGAACTGCTTCAACCTTGTGGATTTTAGGTTTTTCTGGGAAAGGAATAATAATATTAAAAGAAAAGTAAGCTTAGACATCCAGTTTTGAAAAATCTTTGGAAAATTAATGAAGCATGCTTAAATAAATGAACCATATTATGGCTCAAATGCTTGATTTCAGCCATTGTTTCATAGCTTTGCAAATATGGAAAGTGCATTTAGTTCCAAAATCCAATTTTAAACATTTACAAGAAAAAAGATGCTTTTTGCCATCTTATTTTGATATTTTAATAAGCAGAAGTAAAGATTGATGATGTATTCTGAAATTTTGCTTTGAAATTTTGTTTTGAAGCTTTGGATTATTCATTGAAGAAATATTAGGGTTGAAGCAAGTTAGACAAGACTGAAAAGAAATTTAGTAATCTGATTTACTTGCATCTATTTTTAAGCCTGATGCCCATATTAATATTTGTGCCAAGTTTTTAAGGAATGGAAAGTCTTCCTTTGGTATCCCTGCTTTTGGCCACTGTCTGTTCTTTTCTGAGCCTATTTGCTGTACAAATAACCTGCATAGCACTGCTCTAAATACAACAAATTTCAGATTATGGATGAGCATAATTTTAAATTCTTAAACTAGCTTAATACCCAGGCAAATAAGGAGTAAGCACTCAGAAGTAAAACTTTATGATGAAAGTGTTAGTTCGTTACATTTCCAAGAACTTAGGCAAGGGACTTGCTTTAAGGGCTGGATCTCCTCAGGTAGGTAAATAAATTATTTACTATTTAACATTATTATTTAATAAATCCATATTAAAATTTTATTTTATATTAAAAATATGTTATCTAGCAAACTCCCTACGCTGCTGAGCAGTATAAAGTGTCAAGAGTCCTCATAATTGAGAAGCTCAGACAAGAAAGTTTAAAATAAAAGCATATGCCCGTAGGCTCAGAGTAAAAGCCAAGGAAATCACTACTATTTTCTTAATCCCATGTTCTCAGGTAAGATACATTCTGCCTTGGCATATAGAAAACTTTGGGCTTTAACTTTATAAAATGATGAGTCTAAGCAGAAAACAGCTTTCACCTTTGTCAGAGTGACTGTAAAACTTTCTTGTAAACCTTAGAAAAATACCTCAAAAATTCTAGTTCACTAAAAATATTCTGACGCTGTAGAGACACTAAAATTTTATTATCTGAAACTAAAAATTTGCTAACTCTTTCTGATGAATTTGAATATCCAAGTAATCAACTTTCAAGCTCCTTAGGTCTCCTTTCTCCCCCTTAATATTTCAGGGCTCATGTTGTTCACAATGTTTCAATAATCAAAACCGATTAAAAATAAAACATTCTACTCTTGCTGTTTGTAGGCACTTTTATTGTGGGCATAAAACTTAGATAATAATTAAGCTCTTACTAATGTGAGGCTGCTATTATATAAATGCACTCTATAGTGTTTTTAAACTGGCAATTTGATCTGAAAGACTTATTTATCTTCTCAGATCCTCATGGGACTGGATGGCACATAAGAATTTTTGCAGGCAATAGGTTTGATTGTGCTGATTATTCTTGACTGATAGGTCTTTTTGCTAAGTTGAAGTCAAAGTGAAGTTAAAAATCCCAAACCCACTAGAAACCTTGAGGAAGGTGAAAGGTTTGTGGTCATGCAGTGCACTATTGCATGCTGAGCTTCAGATGTTTGCTGAATACCCATCTCTGTGCCAAGAAATGTCCATCTCCATACAGCAGGCCTTTCCAGTCATGACCTCTGTAGGGCTTTTCTTCTCTCCATGAAGGCACTTCTCTTTGCAGTAGATTTTTAGATTTTAGATTTTTTAGATTTGCAGGTGGCAGATGAATGGCTGAAACATGCTGAACAAATCCAGAGTGACTCCACCATAAGCACTGATGTCTAATGTCTCCCCAGGACTTCTGGAGCAGGGTCAGGGCTGTCCTCCTGGTCCCAGAGCTCTTCCTGAATGCACCCTTGGGCTGCTTCCCTCCTCCAGCTGAGGAGAGGACCAGGCCACACATTGTTGCCTGCAGCCACAGCACACAGTCCAGGAAGGAGCTGTGGGCTACACCAGCAAGTCTCGTGGCAGGGAAGGTCAGGGGATAAAAGCTGCAGGAAGTGCTGAACCTTCTCCATAGCATAAAATCAGTGGCTAAGAATTGGAAGTAAGCCACTCCTTGCAAAATGAGGCTATTACTATCCTAAATCTCTTTCATATATTAAGCCCATGCACTTTACCACGTATTCCTTCTGTGCCAGAGCTGAGGTGGCCCCAACTGGGAAATTAAACTTTTTCAAACAAATGCCTGCCTCAGCTGCATGCTTGCATTTCTTACCGAACACTGCAGCCCCCACTAAAATAAGTAGTTGTGGGTGGACTTTGTTTTTTCTTGGTCCTTATTTCTGTAGGTTTGTGGAAAAGGAACAACAACAGTAGCAAAAAGTGTGGCTTTCCAATAGATGGTCTGAAAAAAGCGTGTCATTCCCAACACACAGTGACGTATCCATTAGGCTAAGCAAGAGGGAAGACAGAAGCAGTGGGGAAGGGGTACAGCAGAGAAAATTGAATGCATTAGCAATTATCTTCAGTCTAGGATGTGCTGCTAGTGTCTTACGGTGTCTGAGCACTTATCACAGTCCTGCAAAATCAGTCTGGCACTTGAGTTTCATCCTGATGTGGTAAACAACATTTACGGCACATTGCAGTTTCCAAACACCACCACTGAACTCGAAGCATTTTTCACAGCTATTTATTTTCTGAAGATTTGCTTAATGCAATTCTCTTCAGAGTAACTCTGTTCGTTTTGTGTTTCTGTTGGCATTGCTAAAATCAGAATCTTGCAGACTTCAGATTGTGCATTGAACAAAAATATGCTAAGGAAGTCATAGAACAAGTCCTATTCTAAGACTTTTATTTTCCTGTTCAATACCCATGGACCATAAAAAACTGCCTAGGGGTATGTACGAACAGGATAAATATATGTGTTTCTTCACCCAAATTTTCTCCTAACCTGTTCCTGCTGTAAGGTCAAGCAAGGGTTTTCCTTAGCATCTTGTGGTTAGTCAATGAATTAATCTTCAACAGATTTCTTTTCAACAGACTTTTCTGGCTTCCTTATAAACCCATATAAGTATTTTGTGCCACATCATCTTTTCCAAGTAATTCCACATCACACAACTCTCTCCTGAGGAAACATCTCTAGGTTCTTCTGAACCTGATTCCTAATGGTATCATTTAGAGATCTGTTTTATACTTCCCTGGTCATCTGTTTCCAGGCTGAAAAGTCCTGACCTTCTCAGTCATTCTGTAATATTCCATGTTGGCCTTCTTTGACTTTTCCTAACTTTAGTAAGTACACTTTTACAGGGGAATGTGTCAGCCACAATCCATACTCCAGTTGCAGAAACGCCACAGTTACACAGTGACAGTGCAATGATGTTGTCCCTTTCGTCCTCTATTATTTTCCTAAGGTTTGATTTTATGTTCTGTTTGCCTAGAAATGTCTGTCTGTCATAACCCACAGACTCCTCAGCGGGGCTGATCACCTCTGAGCACATCATTTTGTATTGCAGGCAAGGATTGTTCACCTTCATGTGCATAATTTGTGTTTGCCTTTACTGAAAAATTACTGGGATGGGGAATTAATCAGGAGATCATCCCTCCTTGCTGTTTTCCAGCAGGTCTATCAGACAATCCTGCATGTTATGTTTACAAAGTGTTTGCTTCCCATGTCCATTCATCAGTGAATGTTAAGCAGGCTGTAGGAAGCAGTTCCTGATCACTGCATTTTGACAAACATTGATAATGATCTTGTACACAAGGAGAGCAGACATCACATTTTACAGAAGCTTGAGTTGACAAGGCCTTTGTAAAGCTGCTTGCAATGTTGATCTCCCCAAAGTACAAATATTGCACGTATAAAAACCTAGGTCTTCTGAGGTGCTGAGTGCCTCTTGCAAGGTGCTTAGGAATTCCAAATCCTTTTGGTAATCAAGGTTGTTCTGCATGCTTGTGAAGAAGTAGGTTGGGTACCCTTCAGGAATTGATTCCAGAATTGCAATGCGGAGCATTTGCTTCCAGAGCTCAATTCTCCTTGAAAAGAAAATTCAAGGTTCTATTAATAAGGTCAAATCAGCTCCAAAAATGGCATTCTAATTCCGCTCTGACAGTTCTTTTAATTATTACTGAGTACCTGTTTGGTTCTGTGATAGCACTGAAACAAATAAATTGAGCTAAAAGAATAAAAAGGTCAATCTTCAGTGAAAACATAAGGCAAAAGTAATGGAGGAATAAGATTCATTACCAGATCTCAGAAGACTTTGCCTAAATTTCCCACAGTAATGTAACATAAATTTAATAGTGAAGGAAACATAACACCGAGAGTGATGATTTTGGTACTCACAGGAATTTGAAGACAGTATATAAAGAGGGGGAACCTAAAACTCTGGCTTACCTCAAATAATTTTGGAGCCTTCTGACATTTTGGCACTTGTAGTGCAGCTTTTTGTGCCTGTGGAGAACAGTAACTAGTCAAGCTTGGGAAGTCAGTGTGCATAGAAAAGCTGCCACTGGTGGAGCCTTGCCAGAGTGTCGGGCTGTCCTGGGGCCTTTCCTGACCTTGCTGGTGCGTGCACTCTGCTGTGGCTAAAATCCCTTGTCTCACCCAAAGCCTTGTTTTACTTTTCTCTAACTTAGTAGCTAGAGAAAAGTAAAAGAAAAGTAAAAGAGCCTTGGAATCAGAGTCTCATTAATGAAGTGCCCTTGGCTGTATCTATGTCAGTCTTTACTGTGATGGCAGCTGCACCACTCAGAATTTCTTGACTAGAACTGTTTAGATGGAGACTCTCACTTTGTCAGAAGAAAACTGGGGATGGGGAGGGAGAGTGCAGAAGAGAAATCATGCAGCTCTCTAATAAGCATGACTTCATTTTGATTATTTTGTTCTCTTCTCAGGTGCTGGATTTGATGGAGTGGAAGAAATTAAACGTCACCCTTTCTTTGTTACTATAGACTGGAATGTAAGTGGAGCAGTGTTATTTTCCTCTTAGCTACATTTTTTGAAGACAAACTGCCATGCTTAGGAATAGGATTACTTTCTCTAACAGAGAGAGCCTAACTTCTCTAACACAGAGGAGTTAGAGCCTTTTCAGCGGCTGCCTCTGTCTCTCTCTTGCGTGCATGTTGGCATCAGTACTCAAAATCAAATGAAACATGATTCAAGTAAGGCATGTCAGATGTGATTAACAGAATGGTCAACAATGATTTATTTTATTGCTATCAGCTACAACTCATAAAGGTAGTGGTGCAGATTACCTGAGAATTTGATTTAGACTTGTAAGAGGTTAAATCTCACATTTTCAGCATCGTAATTGTTCAAATTAACTCATTCTTAGACAAACCTGGAGGCAAACATTTTTCATTCTTGATCTGGACATCTGCCAGTGCATCAGAGCTGCTGTTTGCCACATCCTCTAGCATTTTCTAGTTTAATTTTATCCAACTTGTGTTATGGTATTGTTGTGTCTCTTCAGTATTTAATGCATTCACTCACGAGTGCTAGTACAACAGATAACACTGATGTGGTTCTTAGGATAAATTCTGGTAAGACTGAGTAAATCTATGTGACAGAGACATTCTCAAACTGCTGCCCAGGACTTTGCAGTAAAGCTAATTCCTGTGTGAGATAACATTTTGTAGTGCCCAGGTAGAGTTTGAAAGGCCCACAAACACATTTATTTTGGAAAAACTCATTAGAAAGATCTAATTTGAGTTGCATGTTAAAGAGTTGCCATAAGTGTATTAAAACATAATCAGTGAAGCTGGATTCTGAGACTTTCCTTTGTAGTCCAGCTGACTTTTAGTCACATTAAATATATTCTGGAGTCTAGAGTGTCTTTCCTTTTCTGCTTCTTACTAATCATGTGACTCTGTATGAAGACTTTACATTTATGAGAACAGTAAGTGAAAATAAAACATAGAGAATCCAAAGGCTCAGGTTGTTGTTGATGATGATAATGATAATTATTAAATAATATTATTAATATAAATAACAATAATATTGTTTTCTGTATTCTCCCAATATCTCTGCAGTCTTCAGCTTTGCAATCAAAATACGGGTCAGATGACTACATCTTGATGTAAAAAGAGACACTGTAATCTCACTGTAACACTGAGAGGGTCTCCCTCCCTCCCT